ATATCTAGAAAAAACTAATAGTAATTGTTACATATAATAATAATAGAGGAAAATTTATGATATTAATTTTAATAGGTTAATAATAAACTATCACGGGTCAAAAAGTGGCAAAACAGCTATATTTAAACCAATAATTATTGAAGTGTGTAAAGTTGGTGTCTGATCTAAGAAATTGCAATTTGGGATGTATCAACCTAGGTCACAACTGGTTGCAGAATTTCAAACCAGTTGCAGACACCAACTTTAGAGGCATGGTTAGATTTGAAAGTTAAATCTGGGCATCCATTTTTTGGTAACTTTATGATTATAATTTGAAACTATTGACTATTTTTTGGTAGGCTTGTAAAGCAGTTAAAAATACACGTAATACATGGTTTTGGAAGTTGTATGACCTTTTAATAAAGCTCTCGCCAAGTTTTTCTTCATATAAACCATTTTTCAATGAAAGATCTGCATGTTTTAGCCAATAATATTTGTTTTGATTTTAGACGAAACAATATGTAACTTTAGAAATTTTGGACCTATTTTTATAAATTTAAATTAAAAAGATAGCCAGACACTCAGAGTTTTATTTAGTAATTTTAAAGTACAAATCTACATGTAAAATATTGTGCTATTTCTGCAGCGGTTCCCGATGATGGACACTAATTGATTTTACTACTGATGCTTATCCCGGAATTTTACTATGTAGATCCTTTCCTTCATTGATGGATCACGAATTAATATGTTTAATATCCCGGATCTACATATTAAAAATCTATCGTTGATCGGCGGACCACGAATTAAAGATATTATAGGAAGCAAGATTGAACAAATTAAAGATTTAGAAGCAATGATAGAAGAGCTAGAAGAAAGAGTAAAGATAGAACAGGAACAAGTTAAGGAAGTCATAGCAGTTGGTGAAAAATGAAGCAAAAATCAGGCAGAAGACATAAAAGAGAAAAACAAGAAACTCAAAAGTGCTAGTGCAAAGATTTCTCATCTAGAAGCCTGAGTTGAAAAGTTGGAGGAAGAATCAAGTCAAAAGAGCAAAAAAATAGAAAAACTAAGTAAGCAATTAACTGATAGTGAAACACAAAATGAAAATCTAAAGAATTCATTCTACTTAGATAATAAACCCTTACCTGCTTTACCTGTAGAAGAGAACAAGTTATCAACTAAACAGAACATTTTTAAGCAATTAAAAACAAAAGCAAAAGTTAAGTTCCAAAAATTACAAAGATTAATCAAAAAGG